TGTTTGGCATTGATTTTCTTGCTTCTTTTGTGTGGATTCAGATACAAGCAGCTCAATGGTGATATTATTGCAGAGAAGCAACATTTGGCCATGTAAGAAATATATTTAGATTTCTATATGTCCTGATCATTAATATTCAAACATATAATATAGAAATTAGCTACGGCAACAGACAGAACTTACACTGTTATCTCGTTCTGTTTTTCAGGCCAGATGAGTTGGCTGCAAAATGCAATTTTGAATGTATTGCCGGCGCAGCTCAGGCTACCATAGAGGCTGCAAAGGTTTATTACTAATTTGTAGTGATTTATTATAATCTGTTCTATGCTTATTGTCAAACTACTCGCTTGTTTTGTTTGCAATGTGGCAGCGAGTGCTTCCAATTCCTGGTTCGGTTAGCTTAATGGGTTATGTTAGGAAAGACAGATCCGGGAAGGAAGCGGAAAAAAGCAGTAATGCAACAGGCGTAAATGTGTGTCATTTTTCTCTTAACTTCTATGGAGCTCTTTTTATATTTATCTCTATTCATTTTGAAATATGTATATTTATTTATTTATCTTTTTTGGGCAGGATGAGCCCTCCAATCTGATTTCTTGGAAATCTTCATTTTGTTTCAAACCAATATGCTACTCATTCAGGCATATTGGTTATGAAGATGAAACTGCAGTAATAGGCACCTGCAAAGTCGATATTTTTGATAATGAGGGGTAAGTGTTAATGACAAATTCGATAAATTACGTGTGGAGGCTACACGTCCGGACAACGGCCCAGATAGACCGCCATGTAATCCATAGCAATGTGGCCGCAGCCGTTGTCCAGTCGTGCAATCTCTGCACACCAATTATTTTTTTCAGTATTAACTCTTACCATTTTCATATTTTAGTTTGTTTTTAAGATGTTGTAGGCAATATTTAACTCCAAAAACATATGAAATTGCCTCTCTTCATTTTTTATCTTCCTTCTCTGATAATTTTGTTATTGAATGGCATGACTTTAATAAAATTTAGAACTCCCAATAGATGAAAGTTTGAATTATGATTGTTATTATAGTTATTCTTAAGAACATAAATCCTATTATTCTCACAGATATCATGATTAAGGATAAGAGATGCTTCATATATATATATATATTGATAATTGTTTGATGAGCATGCAGGTCCTTCGTTACAAACTTGCTAGCAGGAAACAGGCGCAAAACAAATCAGCCAAGAAAACCAAAAATCTGGAAAAATGGTTCCTTGATCTCCAATCCCAAACCTTTTTCAGCATCTTTTTCTTATACAGATTTAAATGCCATGCATCTTAATCAACCTTACCAGAATACTGCCTTAATTTCAGGACTCGAATTTCAGGACTCACTGATGCCTTCCTGGGATCAAGCCAACAGAGAGCCCTGCAGCAGCTCCCCTCAAAAACTGACCTGCATGAAGAAGACAATGAATCAATGAAGAGGTTTCTGAGCGGAAGAGGAAGCAGCTTCCATGGAAGCCATGCTGTTTCAGAATCACTTAAAGGAGGAGCTCATGACTTAAACCCCCATTCCTCATCTCCTAATGAGCTTTTGTTGACGAAGCCGTTTTCCCATCAAATCATCGCAGTTGGAGTTACCACTGCCGTTCTATTGTTCCCATTTGCAGCCAAGTTCAGCAAAGCTCTTTGCGCATGATTGATACTGGTTGTGTTTTTGTGTGGCTTTTTTTTTATTTTTTTATTTTTTGAAGATTACATTTTATTTGGATATGATGATGACAAATACTAAATATGAAGTTTTTTTGTTCTAATATATAAATCATTTCAGGATTTCCATGAAATCACTTGGCTTACTTAGAGATTATTAAACACTTCATATGTAACACTAATTTCAATACGACTTATTTATTAGTTTTTAAGACTATTATGATTAGGGTTGTTAACGATCTGATTTCAAGTCGGGTGGGTTGGCTCAAAATGAGTTTAAATAAATTTGATTGAAATTTTGGCTCGTAACTCGGCTCATTTATTTCGAAATGATGGAATCAATTTTAGAGTGATTAACATCTTCGAGTTTAATTTGCTAAATTCACATCCCTAACTTCGCTGGAGTTGTTAACAATCTGATTTCAAGACAAGCTAAGGCCAGTTTGAAAAAAATTTTATCCAAAGTTTTGGTTTGTAGTTCGGCTGGTTTATTTAGTTCCGATCTCGATTCGAGCCAAAATTTGAATTAATTTTCTAGTGATTAACGATCTTCAAGCTAAATTCACAGCCCTAATTAGGATCAATTTATAGATGATATCTCGACATAATTGTTGACTTTCATATTTATATCAGTGCTTAAATTATTAAAAAAAGGGAGGGTGTGGGATGATTATTTTTTAGTAAATATGGTGAGGCTGATGAAACTATGAAGAGCATCCCAATCAGTCCAAGTAGCTTTTGATCATTGTTGAAGCAATTAAAACATCATTTGTCCAACATCAATGCAACGCACCAAGCCAACATGCAAATAAAACATGGTTTGTCCGGTTAGAAACAAAGAAGAACAGGGAGAAAATCCAAACGTATACAAATAGAAAAACCCCAACTCGGCTCGAAATGATTAAGGCCATAAATTTTTAGCTCATTAATCGCTCGAAAATTGATTCAAATTTTGGC